CACCAAGGTGGACGGCAATGACCGCTGATGGCAAGGCAATCCATGACACACAGTCACTAGGGCATCGTCAACATGGCGCTGAGGCTGGATCGATAAAATTAACCTTTAGGCTGCCGCGGGGTTGACAACCAGGCCACTGTCTCCAACCTAGTTGGTCAGCCTGGTCACCGCCATTGACGAACCAGTCACCACCGCCAGCAGTGGCGGTAGGTTGTGACAAGTGTGGTGCAGTATTGTCAGCAAGTTCAATACTCAGGATAAGATGAGTGACAAAGGGAACGTTGTGTTTGATAATATTGAAGTGAACAGGGATGATCACAAACCCTGCGCGTACTCCACCGTGAGTTACAAGAAAATTCCGGACTGGACAACGAACAAACACCAACCTGCTACATCCAACCAGGCAGATACTATTACGATAGCTGCCAAACCAGGTCAATGTCGACCTACTGCATAATGTCAATGTCAAACAGATCCTGCAGGAGAAGACTGGGGTGTTGGCGTCCAGTCACTGAGTGTACAGACACCAGTCACATTTCCTGCGTCTTTTGCAGCATACTCATCACTGTAAAGTCCACTACTTCGTGATTGTTATTTGTAGAATACATGACAGGCGTGTTGAGTGTGCCTCGCAGGACTGCGAGGTGCTGCAGAAGACCAGGTTCGACCTTTCTGGACCGCCATTCACCGACGGTGGGCTACACGATGCTGGAGGAACTAGATTCCAGTGAAAACCCAAGATTCCTTTGCTCCTGGACGCTCCGACGTGTTGTGATATCTGCCAGGTGCGCAGTAACTAGTATTTTCATCACTATAGCGAGGACGACGCCGATCGGCAAACTCTCGCTCACAGCCATCACCAGCCTCTCAAAACCATCACTTGGCACCCCCCAGAGGAAGAAGACGAACAGTATGAAGTTCAAATGGGTTTGAACACTCGTACCACCAACTATACCACTTTCAATAAATCGTGACGCCATTTTGTTTTAACATGAATATCGCGGATTACAGGTCCATATACTTCCTATTGACTGTTTTCTCATTTTCTCAAGTGCAGCTTTATCGAGCCACACTTTTTATTCTATCGCCATCATAATATTGGGCATCAATGCCCGTTTGGTTTGCGATGTAAAATAAAACTTCAAGCAACATTATTATAAATTTGATAATTTGGGTAAAAACCAGATGTACAGACCGACGCCTGATGTTTCAAAGGATTCCTGCCGCGAAAATGACTACATCCCTGCTAAGGCATTCACACTTTGAACAATCACACTTAGATTCGGACAGCAGTTCTGCTCCTAACTAACCCTACGTTGGCATATCTATAGAGCTTAGAAGACTATCGGAGAAGCTTGCGATAATAGAGGCCCATTTTGGCAGTGGCACTTGCACGATATGACACCAGTAAATGTATCCATACGCATAATTATGGTATTGAAATAAAATACTGCGTGTAGATCTGAACTCGGATGTTGAGCCAGTGAAATCGTGGTTAGCCCCATCCCTCACACAAACAAGTCAACAAAGAGGCATCTTTGGATTGAGGAGTGCTGGTTTCGAAACAACTGGTTTGAAGCTCAAAGTAGAGCTGGTGTTAGCTCAGAGCAGAGCTGCTGTTAGCTCAGAGCAGAGCTGCTGTTAGCTCAAAGTAGAGCTGCGGTTAGCTCAAAGTAGAGCTGCGGTTTGCTCAAAGTAGAGCTGCTGTTAGCTCAAAGTAGAGCTGCGATTAGCTCAAAGTAGAGCTACTGTTAGCTCAAAGTAGAGCTGCTGTTAGTTCAAAGAAGAGCTGCTGTTAGCTCAAGGTAGAGCTGCTGTTAGCTCAAAGTAGAGCTGCTGTTAGCTCAAAGTAGAGCTGCGGTTAGCACAAAGTAGAGCTGCGGTTAGCTCAAAGTAGAGATGCTGTTAGCTCAAAGTAGAGCTGCTGTTAGCTCAAAGTAGAGCTGCGGTTAGCTCAAAGTAGAGCTGCTGTTAGCTCAAAGTAGAGCTGCTGTTAGCTCAAAGTAGAGCTGCTGTTAGCTCAACGTAGAGCTGCAATGCTAAATGGATGTAATATAGCGCAAGGCAGAGCCGCAGCAAATAGCTAGATAACACCAGTTGTGAGAGTGGACCCGGTTAGTGGGTACGATAATATTTTGATGGTGTGAGTAAGTTGGATAGGGAGGGATGGTGGGAAAAGAAACACTGCTGAAGCACGATCCGTTGTCTGGAAGAGCACAACAGGGCAAGCAAGATTTGTTTTTCTTTTCCGCAAAAATGGGCTTGTGCCATTTGTGATTACGCAGCAAAACAAAGCGCATGACGTCAGTCTTGAATGCAGTACAAAGCAATGCAGTGCAGAGTGTGCGCTAGTTCGGATTGTTGCTAACAAGTACTAGCACAGCTAGTACACCAATAAAGAAAGGAAGAAAAAATCTTACGAGTCAAAACCAACTATTGGTCACCGGTGGCCAGTTGGTAATAGCTCGTAAGATTTTGTCCTTCACTTTTTGTATGTGTAGATCGTTACCCTTAAGCTCCCAAAATGATGCAACCAGATGCCCAACAACGCAATCGCATGGCAAAATATGTTGAAAGCAAGAAAGTTGCTCATCACTTCCCATTGTTCCTATCCAGCAAGGACAGTGAGTGTTTTAGTCACTCTGGTCACATGTATTGTTGGTCTGTGATCACATGGTGTCTCCGCCTCCGGTAACGCATCTCCCTGTACCGGCGCATGTACATCCCTTGTAGAAGTTGATCCCAGATAGCGAGCGGTAGGTGCGGCATGCTCTGCGATACTTGCGCAGTCATCCAGACACTGTACACACCGTTCACTATTATGCAGTGCGCGGTCACTCAGTAAGGGCTGTATTGTGCCCAAACTGCCAAGCCGCTCCTGGTCGGACTCTAGCTGGACTGGACCACTCAGCCTCGTCAAGCCTGTATCATTTGGAGCGGTGGAGCTCCTGCTGTAGAGAGATGAATGCGCTCTCCTCAGCAGGGTCTGGAACCGAGCTTTTTGTGCATCCAGACGGTGCAGAAGCCAGGCGATGACAAGTAGGGATACACAAAGACATGCTGCTAGGATGATGACAAAATTAATGTTCGCCACAGCTTGACTTCTGCAGAGACAGAAATACACACGAGTCACAGGAAAACCACGCGTCTTGATTGTCGTAACTTAAAGTTTCATGCCATATAGCAATCTTCAGACAACTGATTACGGTGATGCACAGCTAGTATGGTATTTACACAGCAGCATAGGAAGAAATCTGTGAAGGTTTGAGGTATGGTGGGTGCAAAAAGTCCTGGATGGAAAATGTGCCAAACTCACATGGTCCGTGAGTGAGAAAAGAAATGTGATATGGCAGGAAGGCAAGCAAGGCTGTGTGAAAGGATGCTAATGATAATGTGGCTTGCCTGTAATCACAATCATGCAGGTGCAAGATGCCACACTCTTTGGTAAACGCTTAAAATAAGTTGGAGGAGGGGAGATACCTGCTCTTCAATGCACCAACAAAACAGGTGCAAGATGGAATTTTCCACGCGCTGTGATGGCTATATAGGTGCTTAGAATGGGCGAGGAACATGAAAAGAAATGACCACGATGACGCGACGTCAAGCGAGGCTATATGCAATATACCACACCCATAATTAGAAGGGCTGCAGACGGGTGCAAATGGCTGTCGCGCATCATGTAGCTGCAAGTCAGGTGACTCCGTACCCACCAAGCAGGAACTTTGCAGATTGCCTGCACTTTGATACGAGCTCCGTTCGCTTGTTGAGGGAGGTGCTGCGATCGGATATGCTGACGTCATATTTCTCTGCGATACATAGGTTGCAACGCTTGGTGACATTGGTGTAAGCCCGTGCACGTTCCTTGATGGACCAGCCAATCTCATAGGCCTTGTTCTGGCGTTTTAGGCTCCATTGCTATATGGCATGAAACTTTAAGTTACGACAATCAAGACGCGTGGTTTTCCTGTGACTCGTGTGTTACTGCTCTGCTTCCGCATTGAGCACTCTATCGATCCGGAGGACTCCGCTATTTGAGACAGAAATACATGTGCACACGTACATCAAATCTGATTGTGTTTTGCACCTGTGTGTTCATGAAACCACACTGTCAACCAAACAGGGCCATGCTAGAAAAAGGATACTTGAGGATGGAATGCACCGCCATTATTGCCGCCATGACGGTTGAAGTTCAATGAATTTTAGAAATTGAAGTATTCTATTGTAACAGTATTTCTATGAGTGAGCTTACCTTCAAAGGGAAGCACCATGGCCTGAAAGACAATAACAAATCCGCGAGCACCCATCGTTTATGTCAATTCTGCCATCTCTCCACTCCACTATAGTTGAAACTGTTCTAGGATTCCCTAACCCATACAATGCTTCCCTACTCAACTACTCAATACTTTACCATGCGTTTAATATCATATAAAAGGCTTGTATCGGACACAGCAGTTCGAAAAAGTTGGCATTTTCCGCGAAGACCGCGAACAGTTGTTTTCACGCTGCAGCGGATGTTTGAAATTCGAAAAATGCCCCCAGTCCTATTGGTTGGCTTGTCCTTGACAAATTGGTAGACCGTTAGGTGAATATAGTATTCGGAGTTTCCAACTATGAACAACCCACGCTAGCGGCGCGACCCACAATCTATATTTCTCCTACCATGTTTCTTTTGTTGCAGAATTGTTATTTCATTTCTTAAATTTTTCCGACTGCGTTTCGGAATCATGCCTTCACGTGATCATAACTTCACAGCTGGCATTCACTTGCCCTGTGCAAGACACCAAAATATCCGCCCCATAGCATGGATCGTGGACGCATTAACGAGCATATCTGATAGATATGGGGAGGCACACACCGATATGAGCGACAGATTCTTCTAGAGTTTCACGTGATCGACACACGTACCAACAGTTGCCTCCTGGTGTGTCCCTTTTGACACAAACACGTTCCTTGGTCGGCATATTATGGCTGGTTTCCTGACCAGACTTTCCATATGAGTTGTGTAGGGCGCAGCTACTTAGCATTGAACGAGTTTCTGCCAGCATGAATGTAGTTATCAAATAGCATAAACAAGTGCTAGCTGGATGTGACCACTAATGCAAGAAATAATAGCACACTTGACACCGTACGTGGACACTGTTGATAATAATTGTGAAAGCATCCATACCTATAAGCTCTATACGCCTCAAAATGTCTAATCATATTAGTTCGACTCTGATCGAGTGCCTAGGATAAAAATTGAAAGACTGGATGACAAGTTAACAATAATGTTTCCTGTAGATTGTCCAACTTTAACAGTTATAAGCAATAAAGCGTGTGATTCGAAATGTTCAAAACTAGTTTGCCTGTGATTGATGAAGACAGTACTGAAATTCATCACGACTCGAATGCGCAAACGACCATAATACGCACTTGGCAAATTCAAAGTTATGAAAGCTGTTATGTATGTGCGCGGACAGGATGGTGAATTCCGACCAAGATAAATTGACACCATTGCCATGTAACAACTGGAAGAGGGAGAGCAATTACCTCGGGCATCGGGGTTCAAGTAGATTTCATAGTCAGTGTCATCTGCTGCTTCGTAGATGTCGCTGTCTTCGTCCACTTCTGGGACCTGTCCAATGTGGTTGACTTGCAAACTTGAGTTGGATGTAGACATGTATGGAACAACATCCTGCATCCGGTCTTTCGGATCCTCTGGCAATGTTTCAACAAGTCCATCCAACGGGTAGCACGTTCTCGCCTTGTGAGGTGGCTCTGGATATGTGAAAGACGAGATCCTGTCTTCTCTTGGTAGAGACTTTGACTTCTGTTGAGTTTTGGTGACACCAAGCATAAATGTGGAGCGTTTGGCAAGATCAGATCCATGCGTGTGTTCTCCACTTGCTTTCACTGCAACCTGTTTTGGCTGTGCCTCATCAACTGCGGGAGAGCTACGTCCCTGCTGATGTGTGTCTAGAGGTTTTGCATAAGCATCTTCATCTTGAAAGTCTCCTGCCCCGGTGACAGAAGGCAGTAAGTTACTTGCCCCGAGGTATTCATTTCCGACCCGGGTTGAATCTTGAATACGCTGAACGTTGCCATCTCGACGCACATTACAGATGGTGTTCTCTGCTCCCTGTGCAGGCATACTGTCCCCAGTCTTCTTCTGTGAAAGACGACGATATCTGAAATAGAGCTGCTGTGTGTCTCGCTGTCTGACGTGAAGGGCTGATAGAAGGCCAACGATACCCATGATGCATACCACAAGGAGGCTGATGGTCGCAATTGCCGTCGTCTTCCAGAGAGAATGATCTGGTAACGCCAAAATGCAAGTAACACAAGACATTCGTGTGGTAAAATTATCGGGGTAACGGTGTTAGATAAATATTGTATGGTAGAAGGACGCATTTAGTTAGACAGCATATTAATCTACCAACATTGGATGGTTGCAGTAAGTGGCACGTTTTACGAACACGGGACGCGTGTGTTCCTAGTTGGAACAATCAACCTCATGACTATTACCGCCGAAGTCGCAACTTCTAAGTTTGTACGGTGTTCCGCAGATCGTAATATGCTGGCAAACTAGAGCGAACATGGGGTTCCTTCCTTCGGGCGCATATAGTATTGTTGGCCGGAACTATGCGTCTAAATTTCGTACGGTTCTCAACCGCTCATAGGAACTTTTTGCTAGTGAGAGCTGTTGTTTGACCATTCACACGTTTCCCCTGAGGCAGGTATATTCATTGACCCATTGCCAGTTCGGCAAGAAGCGTGTGTTCCTCGTTGGAACAACCAATTGCATGACCACTGCATGTCAGAAACGACAATGGTGAAATTATATTCTTTGGTCATGTTACCATTCGCCCTGTAGCCAAACGTGAATCGCATAACAAGCCCAATGCACATAATTGGACTTCAGGCAAATAGAGCAAAAAGATAATCTTCAACATACTGCTAAGGCAAGATGCTGGGACGATGTCACCTGAACAAGCAGGAAACCCATACTCATACCTGATGTATTGCAGCCGCATGTGAACCTTGTCTGGAATTCAGTTCCCTGGACCTTGCCTGCACAAGTGTTATACAGCGCAAAGTGCGGCAAATTGTCAAACGCCGCAGGATGGATGGAGTCCACGAAAAGACTTACCCGAAAGTGAGGTGACAAAGAATGGGTAGCACACAATCCAAAATATACTCAAGGTGCTCATTTTGCAATGTAGATTTAGCAAGCAAAACAACATTTAGCGTGTTGTTATTTGGCATCCATGAGGATTGTAACACCTTTGGAAAAATACCGAACAGTTTCCGAATTCAGCTGAAAACAATACTAATGGAAGACATTCATTCTGGAGCTGAGCTTGTGTCAACTGAGTTTGTGCAGTTGGCTCTAATGTGATCTCTGTTGGACATAGAGAATGAAGTTGAAGACACCACTGCAGCTGTACTTATGGTTGATAAATATGGTGGTAAAGACACACCTGGCAATATGGCGGTAAACATCGACTAGGCGCCAAGCATCGACTAGGCGCCAGGCGCGAACTGATGGTGGTGGTGGTGAGAAGGAGAGCTCTGTGCTAGAACTTTGCAGCTAAGAGAGCATGTGTGGGCAAGCGTGTGTTTACCGACATATTGCCAGTTGTGTCTTTACCACCATATTTTAAAATTATCAACCATCTGTTGGACATAATCTGACAATTTGCATAAAAGCCAAATTTACAGACCGACGCCGGATGGGTCAAAGGATGTATGCCGTGAAAATGACTACATCTCTGCTAAGGCATTCGCACATTGAACAGTTACACTTAGATTCGGACAGCAATTCTGTTCCTAACTATCCCTACGTTGAGATCTCAACAGAGCTTAGAAGGCAATCGGGGAAGATGGCGACAATAGAGGCCCATTTTTGCAGTGGCACTTGCACCACCTGACACCAGTAAACGTCTCCATACCCACATGCTATTGAAATAAAATACTGCGTGTAGATCTGAACTCGAATGTTGAGCCAATGAAATCATGGATAAATAGAGGAAGGAAGAATGCTACGATTTATAGCCAACTATTGGTCGCCGGTGGCCAGTTGGTCATAACTCGTAACATCTCGTCCTTCTTCTATTTGTATGTGTAGATCGTTCGCCTTACGCTCCCAAGATGATGCAAACAGATGTCCAACAATGCAGTCGCGTGGCAAAATATGTTGGAAGCAAGGAAGTTGCTCATCGCTTCCCATGGTTCCGATCTGGCAAGGACAGCGAGTGTTTTATTTGGCATACACATACATGCACCATTTATGAATGGGTCCAAGAATCCATACAGGACGTGATATGCGGACTAGTTCTAAGCACGTGATTGGAGTGCAGCACCAGTTGCAGAGGATTATCCATGTGGAGCATGCTATACTAGAATGCCTCGAGTTGCTACAATGTAGTATTGCCGTGGCTATGTGGTCGCTGGGATACTGCGAATCACATGGGATTGCAGCACTAAAGTGATACACTTGATGTGTACTTCAAGAAGTATCAGGGAAACGTATATCATTGCTGGCAATGTCAAATGCAACCGCTTGGCAATTGACACTTACTTGAAGTTCAATTTGTCAAAAAAGCGCGCTACTGACAACTTGGTTCAGTATGTAAAACAAATTCATAATGTCAGGACTTGGGGGTCTATGAACACAAACTGTTGAGGTGAAGCTTTATGTCCAATTCTGACTGCTTCTGCCAGATTAGTGCAGGCTGAACATACATCACCACTATCGATTTCCGATTGCATTATTGCCAGGTTAAAAAGACACTGTTGGCAAAGTCAATTATGATACCAACCATTGATGCTCCATGTATGAAATCGAAATTGTATCAGAAAATCCATCTCATTGTGTTTCAAGGCGCTCAATTTATTCTACATCTTGCGAAATCAATAGAGCCAAACATTAGAGTACACTAATGTAATCATGGTACGAACCATTGATGCTCCATGTACGAAATCGGTATCATCTCAGAAAATCCATAAAATTGTGTTTCAAGGCGTTCAACTTATGCTGGTATTATCTTGAAAAATCAACAACACCAAATATTGGAGTACACTAAAGCAAACCTGACCGAATGGAAGACAACTGAAACGAATTGAGAAGACGAATGGGAATAAAAGGAATTAGACACAATTCACCGTCTCCAGGAAATCCATAGAAATAATCAGACAGAAATTGCATGATGTGTTGAAAAGAATGTTTCAAGAATATAACAATTATAGCTCTTACCACCATGGACATACAATTATTTATTTGGCGTGTTGAAAGGCCTATTGTTGTGCATGCATGTGTGAGTGTCGGTGTGTGTGTGTGTTTGTGGGTGCATGTTTATTATCATCAAGTTATCTGGATTCAATGATGGGATTATGGGAATTTCAAGTAGCGAACGGGTATCAAGTGAGAGTATATTTCATTCAATGCAGCAGTTTTATACATTTACATCACCTGGCGTGATCCAATGGTACGTGTCAGTTCTCGCTGGTATCAATTTCCACCATACTCAAGTGGTAGTTTCATTTGTTTCTGTGACAAAGTTTAAATCAAGCCTGTTTTCTCGCTCCACGTACACAAATAAACCGACATGGACCCAGACAACAGAGGCAGGAGCACACAGATTGAGGGTAGTAGGCCGCTGCCAGATGTGACTGAGAAATATAACGTCTTCACCGGCTCTCGCAAGCTTGTGTTCCGCAAAGCTGCTTGGATCTATACTTTGTCCTCTTGCCAAATGCCATGAAGCATCACTTTCCCACTGTTCATCCAAGTGTTTGGTGTCTCTTACTGGCGAATCCTGCAGCAAGTACGATTGGGTGAATGCGCTAACACCATACTAGTAGCTCATTCGCAATGCATTGTGGTTTCACAAGCTTGCTCCGCATCTGAACTTGTTTCGATGATCTCGATGTAGGCTGCATTGGCAGAGTATACACCTATTCTGTTGTCACTAGCACGGCTCCCAGGTTGAGGTACTACAGGGCTGCACGAACCACTATCCGCACGCGCAAGGCAGAATGCCGCGGAAGCATGCGAACCACTAGCATAACATGGGTTTTCTGTATTCACAGGAGTGTCACACTGACAATGCGGTATGCCATAGCTGGGATTGGCCCGCAGTGTAATATCGTTAAAGTTGTGGACATGTTCATACGAACAGGTGCCGCTGGTTCTGTTTGAAACGCCCGCTGATGGCTCGTTTCCGTGCACGTCCTCATACACTTTTGAATCCGTCAGGTCTTCATACAATGTCCTTGTCGATGAACTCTCATTTCCATCCTTCCTCTTTCTTGACTTCCCAGGCTTCCCACCAGAGCGGACGGAATCCTTCAGCCCTAGAGCTGCTCGTGGCGTGCTTGAGTTTGGCCCCAAAAAAGGCAGCTCTCTAGGCCTATGCACTTCGTCCACCACCGCATCCTCGGCGATAGGACCAAGTAGTAGGTTTTCCTCATAATCAGCACCTGAATTGGAGAGGACCACATTAGATTGAAGAGGGCGCCTGCCGTTGCCTTCAGTGGCGGTATTCAGGGAGCAATACGTATCTTGGTTATCCAAATTCTCAGTAACGGTGTTTTGCCCTCTGCCATGAACTTCGCCTTCTGTGACATTGTCCAAAGAGCTATACATTTCTTGGCAATCCACATTCTGCCAAACAGCCATTCTTTCTTGATCAGAACACTTTGATGCAGGCTTCCCTTCTGGTTGGAGTAGACCGTTGAATCTCTTGTGTAGCCCGTGGTGTGCTATATAGAATGCGTGTATATCGTTTTGTGCAACCTGTATAACGACTAGCAAGCTAATATTTCCCAGGATGCTAACCGCCATAGCTGCAATGGCCGATAGTGCTATTAGCTTCCATGTATCAAGTTCTGTAACACAACACACAAGGGACAAACCTGTTCATCTTTGCACAGTAGAAGACTTGGCCTTAAAACATTTACGTGACTGCAAAAGCTTTTTTCTCGCCGTAAGCAATAAAATGACATTATTCTGTAACTGCACAATTCTCTACCCACCAAAAGAGAATTCCCTTACGATCGTGGTACAAGACATTCTATTTCAAATGCAAGTCACATTCAAGCAACGATCAGCCATTCTATTCTTGGCAGTATAGACGGAATGTATTGTCAGTGCTCAACACGTCAGGTCCCAGGCCTAATTCTGTTTGTTTTGCAGTTGTTCTTGTACAATCCCCCTCCCCCTCTTTTTCGGTGCCTAGTTTCAACGCTGACGCCGAGACCTTTGGTTGGTTGAGTCGCTCCCAGCACATCGGTACGTCGTCCCTACATCCCCTATGTTGCGTCCTTTTCCTCGTTTCTTTTTGTTCTCCACCTGTTTTCAAGTAGGGCTTTGCTAATAGTAAAAAAATGCCCTATGGCTACTTTCTCCATCACTAACAATCGATGATGCCCAACTGTCCCTGCCCCCACATTGTGATTATAATGTGAATCATCCTACCGTATGCTTAGGTTAGGCTCTCAGCTCTCTATTTCTTTAGAACGAGGTCTGTCTCGTTGTCCAGGAAACGACCAATCAGCGACATTCCCGCCATGGGCCTTATCAGAGTTTAAAGCGTCGTTGCACACCAAGTTCTTGGCTGTCGTGGACAAGCATGCACCCGTCTGCTATGTATCCTCCAATCGCAAATCCCATCCACCCTGGTTCGACAGAGAGCTCCACAAGCTCAACCAACGTAAAACCAGCTCAACCAACGTAAAACCAGCTCAACCAACGTAAAACCAGCTCAACCAACGTAAAACCAGCTCAACCAACGTAAAACCAGCTCAACCAACGTAAAACCAGCTCAACCAACGTAAAACCAGCTCAACCAACGTAAAACCAGCTCAACCAACGTAAAACCAGCTCAACCAACGTAAAACCAGCTACACCGACGGTGGCTACATGATACGGGAAACCACAATCTTCACGTACAGTTCAAGCAAGCATGCTCCAGTGCCAGAAATGCCTATCGCCGAAAGTGCAACGATTTCTTCGGAGCGCAATGTGCCGCATCCAGTCAGAACCCGCGTAAGCTCTGGAACGTCATAAACTCCGTTACGAACAAGAAGAGAGTACGTGTGGAGCCTACTTGCCCCATTGAAGAAGTTTCGTCAGTCTTCCAAGCAGTAGTAACAGACAATGTCCGTCCTCACAGCATCCCGCTACCGCAAGGTCCACAGCCTCAGACTGCAATGTCAGAATTGCCGCAAGTGTCTTTTGGCGAAGTAGAACGGCTTCTCCGACAAATCAATACTGCCAAAGCAACAGGAAGCGACGGGATACCTTGTCACCTTCTGAAGTGCTGTGCCGATATCCTAGCTGCGTCCGTGGCCACGTTGTTTAATGCCTCGCTTGTTAATAATGGCACTGCCCCCACAGCCTTCAAACTCGCACACGTTATCCCGCTGTTCAAAGCTGGGGACCCGTCTATTCCCACTAACTTCCGTCCAGTGTCCATACTTCCCATATTTTCAAAACTCTTGGAGAAAGTCGTACAAAAGACGCTAGCCCAGTTTCTGGATATATCTGACACCCTCCCCACGACTCAGTTTGCATTCCGCGCAGGCCACTCAACGGAGGATGCCCTGGTGCTTATGCTAAATGGTATTCTTATTGCACGAGACAAGCGTTTTTGTACTGGCATATGCCTTCTAGATATATCAAAAGCATTCGACAAGGTTCGTCATGAACGGCTACTCCAGGACCTATTCGATATCGGCATAACAGGGACAGCCCTCAAGTGGTTTTCCGCCTATCTGTCGGGCCGTACTCAGCGTATCTGTATTGGATGGGATCAGAGTGCCATTTCTGCACTATCCTGTGGCGTGCCACAAGGTTCTGTTCTAGGACCGATCCTTTTCAGTATCTACACCCGCGAAGTTCCAACCATACCTAACCAGTCTTCATCGGTTCAATTTGCCCATGACATCGCGCTGATCAGCAGCAGCACATCCCTGGACACGGTATCTGCTACGATATTGGCCTCGGTTTCTGCACTTGCTGACTGGTTGCAGACCCGTGGTCTCATTTTGAATGCAGCCAAGAGCCAAGTGATCCATGTATACCCAAACAGGCAGCCTCAGCAGCCCCAGCACACGATCAATGTAAACTGTCATGAAACGCCGATTCCTGTCGTTACTGCGGCCAGGTATCTTGGAGTACTCCTGGACTCGGATCTGTCATGGACGCCCCCATGTTGATCGCTGCACCGCTCGACTGGCCCAGAGGATCGGAGCACTATTGAGGTTGCGTCGCTGCTTGACTCATCAGAGCCGAGTTCTCCACTTTAAAGCGATCATCATGTCTGACCTGATGTACGGATTCAATGCGTTTTCCCCACTTCTTACTGCCAACCAATTGGAACGCCTACAAGTCATGCAGAATCGGGCCGCAAGGGCGGTTTTCGGACTCTCGCATCGCACCTCCGCGCGTACTCTCCTGCTGAAATTGGACACCTACAGAGTATCCGAGATATTCAGGCAGAAGTTAATCGTTCTTGTCTGAAGGTCTCGGAATGGGCACGCAAGTTCTGACCTGCAAGCCCTCCTAGTTCCTTCGTCAGCTGGCCCATCTAGGTTGCACTCCACCATGGGTCTGTGCCAACCGCCAGTTTGCACCAGGTTCGGCAAGGGTTGCCTCGCGTTCCGGGGCGCCCAGCTGTGGAACACCTTACCCAGTGATATACGTGCCATCTCCACGCTCCGCCAGTTCCGCGCCAGCATGATCCCGCACACCCTTAGTACCTAGAGTACCAAACGTCCTGTGTGATGATCAGCTGGCTTAGTTTTTCTCCACCTCTATCCTTATTACATCCCTCCCAATTTCATTTATTATTGCTTTCTATCTGCATTCGCCAACTTTTCATTGGGCAGATCTGCCCGTTTGGTTTGCGAATTAAAATAAACACAACAACAAAGCCCGCTCAATCGTTATTTTACTACTCTCGATGACGCGTCGAGGACCTTGGATTAGTTTAAAGCCCGCTGAATATACTCTAAACTGGTGCGTTCAACTCCCTGTATGCATTATAGTACGGTCCAGATAATGAACTCTGCATAAAATGTACGGTGTATTACTAAAAGCTACGGATTTCAGAAGTGTGTGCGGTTTTTGCCTCCCGTATTCTTTCATCTGTACGAATTTCCTTTGTCAACAGCTTGCGGAAACCTATAAAAACCGAAGATCAAAGTCATTAGAGGTGTTGGGTTCATGCATTATTCATTTGGCATGGGTAGCTACTTGCGCGTCCATGTTTGCCAAAGCTACCCAGGCCCTTTATATTGCGTTGCCTCTCTTAAAATCTCTCTCTCTCTCAACTCTCTTCACTGAATAATCGCTCTCTTGAGTCGAGCTCTCAATAGCCACCATGTAGTCGTTTCGTTCGTCTTGGTCTCTTGTCGCGTTTCTAATAAATGTCGTTATCAACCTACTTGTTCCCGTTGGTAGTCTCTTGTTGGATCTAACAGACGTATGGACAAGGGGCTCTCAAAGCCCCTAAATAGCTCCACAAGCTATGAATAAGAATGAAGCTCGCAAGAAGAGCCCAGCATTTCATTTGCTTCCATTCTACTTTTAGTAAGTGGTGCTGAGTTACCATAACTTACCAGAAGAAAATATTCTTTCATACCACACCAAGTCTCTCTGCAAGTCAAGTCTCTCTGCACACAAACCGCAAAACCATCCAATATAATGGTACACAAGCATAATGGAAGTGAGATAATGCATGTAACCTCGTTCTAAAATAGTAAGTGCATGGCAGGGGGGGTCGTATGGCTTGTTTGTGCCCTTAAGGGTAGCCCTCGGGCCTACGGCCCTCAGGATAACCTGTCGGGCACTAACAAGCCATAAGGCCCTCCCTGCCATGCACTAACCTATAACTAGTTACTGCAGTACGTTATTAGCTCACCTTCGATCGTACATGATGATGAAGATACCACTGCCTTACTATTTGCGTCTGCAAAGCCTGCAAACATTCAATCAGAGGATGTTTTTCAGTCACAATGCGATGCCCGTATCTCCTTTCAAATATAAATTGCTTGAAGAATATATAAAAAAATTATATTTTCACATACTACTCGGAAATATTATCCTGATTGGGCCGTTGGATGGCTCGACATGGGCCAACTTGTATAAACAACATGATTGAAGTGCATTTCCAAATGCCAAAAACATATTTCGAGACGTGTATCGTCGTTTGAGCAACATACTGTAGTGGGTTTTACGCTAGATAGCAGGTTTATGAAACAATGCGAAGTGCAATGATCAAATGTACGAGGCGTACTCTAGGCGGTGAAGAGTGATCCATTATTACACTGGACTGAAATTGACCCATGCTTACCTCCGAGCGTGAACACAGTGATCATTAAAATCGTGACCTGGTACACAGTGGACCCAGGCATCTTCAGCTTTCTTTATGAGAGAAACGTGGTTCAGTTTCGCGTTTGAATTATCTTGAACTGTCCAAACAGATTGGAGACACCAAGTTCAAGCTTCAATAAGTGAATTTCTCCTCTCTATCGGAAGCTTCACTAAGAATATTCTAACAGATGCAGACGAAGGTACCTCTCTTCACTGGCTTACTTGTGAAGATGTACAATACTAACATCATGAGCTGAGTATTTTTACCTTCTCCCGGCCCTGGATGCCTATTCTTGCAGGCTCTGAGAAATAGCGCTAAAAGTCATATGGCGTCAAATGATGGCATGATACGAATCGTATCACGCGATAGCGGAAAGGTGTTCACGTAGGACAGGTGCTAGCTGTTACGATGTAAAATTGGTCATGAGACATTCCTGAAAGTGAAAATTGTACAAGCGATGTTTGGAAGTCAAGCGGGAATGTCCGGATGTCCGGAAGTCAAGTAGGCCACCAAGCCCATTCATCGCTCAGTGCGAATCTGCCCATAAAAGGTGGGATAGGTACAACGTGAGTGCTGCTAGTATACTCTATAAAGATAATCACTTCAGATGTAGGTGGTCTAAGTCAGTGATGGGTAGTGAAAGGCACAGCTTGAGAGATCTTTGCAGTGCAGTATCGGACTAGCCAAAGCATGACTTTAGGATATTAAAATAGAGAATGTAAATGCTATCTTTAACAGTCAAGGCAGCAGTCTAGATAATATTAAAATGCGTCCTTGTGGCATTAAGGAATCGATCCGAAAAGCTGGGTACAGCTGAAACAGCATCAACATACTAGGGTCAAGAGCAGAACTTTACAGGAATTTATAAATATTAGCACGAAATATTATCTGGCGTACACAATGTGTTTGTCGCATTGGGAATGGAGTGCCTCAGCACGTTTGTAATCCCGCCCATGGTTTGGCCTGGAGAGCGCTCTATAAGTTCAGGCACTTCAGGAACAATCTTCCTCAGCCTACCGACACTGAACGGATAACGCTTTAATCCCCCGAACACAGGGTGTAATGAGCAGTTGGTTATGCATTCTCGAGGGCTTGGAAAGGAACATGTTCGATATACCTGTCATGTGCTAAGTATGGCAGTCATGAGTCACTCATGTGTAAAGTCAAGGCGATTGATAATCGCCAGCTGCGGTTTGGGGCCTACCCAATTTCCCCAAAGAAACAATAATTTCACCAAACCTTAGATTGGGCTAGCTAGTTTTCCTTTAAAGAGGGCACATTGTCAGCCGACATGTAAGGGACATGTAAGGGACATGTAAGGGAAGTGTAAGGGACATGTAAGGGACATGTAAGGGACATGTAAGGGACATGTAAGGGACATGTAAGGGACATGTGGTATGGACATGTGGTTCTTTTGATGCGGCGCTTGCACGTTGATACATCACATTGTTCTCGTAACCTGTCGCGACCATGCATGGAATGCAAACTGGGCATTGTCAAACACAGCTCATACTATCACACACGTATCTGTGCAGGTGGCGTTCTCTGACCAGAACCCACGCGTTGCCAATGTGAATTTCTTTCTCAAAATGGCATCAACAACAAGCGTAAAATGATGTTTTCTTGCATACACATTTGAAGCCGGGGGGGGGGGGTAGGAAGGGAATAGATATATCAGCAGCGATCGTTCATCTTCTCAGCCACCTGTGTCAGCACGAGTAAAACAGGATCAACCCAAATATGAAAATTTTTTGTCGTGTTCCGGTGACTCACAAAGGGTTAAATTGAAGCACCCACCAGTGCAAGAACACTAAATTCCATGAACAGAAAGGAAAGAGTATTGCATGTATACAATCAGGGGAGCGAACTGAAAGAGGAATCCAAAGGCGTAGCATTTTTACAATACCGTGCATCCGTAAATTTAAAAAAAAATTTATGCAGGCTAAAAATATAATCCCATGACCGAAACATGTTATATATAACCAAGAGTAGATAAACAAGAGTGTGCAACTCCGGATCTCTCCTGCACAATCTGCAGATACCCCACCCACGGCGGAATTTTTTGTTGACGTCACCTTTTTCAGAGAAACGCGCAGTTTGCCACAGAGCAGTGTGAGAGCACGTGCTGGGCACCGACCAGTCACCTTGTAGTGTAAAGCCCGGCCAAGGGCACGAGGGAAAACATTCCGAAAGACTCACAGCGCGTGCGTCGTCGAAAAGATTACGTCAACAAAAAGTTCCGCCGTGGGCCTACCCATCCGCGAGTTGCACACTCTTGTTTATCTACTCTTGATATAACCCTTAGAGAGAAGAAAAACGCATCTGAACTCTGACAGCTAAAGCCTACATTTATAAGTAGAAACCAAAATCACACGCAGCATGCCTGAATAGCAGGGTGTGGAAGAAATCCAGATTTGCAGTGCATCAATTCAAAGATGGACCACACGGAAGACCAGGGGAATGAACTGAAAACATGAATGGTGAAAAGGATACTTCAAGTATTTGAATTCTGAAGCTGCAGGATGCCTCTATCATATCAAATTAGTGGAAAAGGGTGATAAAATTCGTCGTCCCAAGGAAGACCAGAGACATAAGACGGCAACTGCCGTTGCGTTCAAAAGAAACGTTTCACAAAAAAATCTTTCCTTGCAAGGGCACATTTTTGGTCATTACGCTTGAACGGCTGGTCAGATCGAGACAACAGTTTCAGAGATTTTGAAGCTATTCATGCTCTTTCAGTTATTTGCTGTTACCACCATTGACATTTAATTCCCGTAGCTATGCAGAAGACGTTACTTCAGTAACGTCTGGCGCTAGCCAGGGTCCACACAGCTTTAATTTGGTGTTTGTTTGTTTGTTTGTTTGTTTGTTTGTTTGTTTGTTTGTTTGTTTGTTTGTTTGTTTGTGTCACGCCTGGCGCTATCCCGTATCTGTCGCGTACCGTATCGCACAGCTGGCCATTTGCTGGCTCCCGTATCTGTCCCGTACCATACCGTACCATCAAACACAGCTGGCTACAAACAGCTGGCCACAATATTATGTACATGTACATGTATACGACTCCCTGTGTGTTGCAACTGTGCTTGAAGGGGACGGTTGCACTTTTCGTAGCTCCCTGGCGTATTTCTGAATTTGCTGGGGCGAGGGTTCCGCGACGCGGTCGCCAAGGCAGTGTCTTTTCAGTCACGACCGTTGTCGTCCTCGTCTCTCCATTCGCGGTGGTGTAGCTGACCCCCGAATGGTTTCAAACTGCGAAGCTCGGAGGAGTACAGTGGTGGCAGAGGCATGAGCTGTGAGTGGAGACGGTTGCTGGAGATGGATGGTGATGCAGGGAGAAGAGTTACGCTGCCTGACGCAGCGTGGGAAATTGTTTGAACCTGCAATGGAGGAGGAAATGAAATTAGAATGGATGTTAGTTGCCGAATAGGTGATAGGATGCGTCAGTAAAAACATAATTTGGAAGAGACATCCCGTCGTCTCCAAAATAGGCGTGAACGGGCGAGTCAGCGCCGGTCACAGGAAACGTCGGCTGAGACTGGATCCCGTCGACTCCAGAACGCGCGCGCTCGGCAGAGTCAGCGCCGTTCCAGGAAACATTTCCATCAGTTCCCACAACATGCACGATGAGCTAAGTAACAAAGCATAGCGTAGGGCCCTGAGCTTCCAAGCTCTCTCGTTTGGCGAGTTCTATTTAATTGGCTTGTTCCTGTACATGCAGGTATGTATGTGCGTGCGTGTGTGCGTGTGTGTGTGCGTGCGTGTGTGTGTGTGTGACTGTGTGTGTGTGTGTGTGTGTGTGTGTGTGCGTGTGTGTGTGTGTGTGTGTGTGTGTGGTCTTCGTGGGTGCGTATTTCATGTTATCCAGTCATCGGCGAGTCTCTTTATTTATAATTATGAGAATGTCAAATAAGGTATGATTATCAAGGGTGAGGATGTTTGAGGCAATACATTAGTTTTATACATCACGTGGTTTGAGCTAAGGGTACGTGTAAGTTCGCCGTGGTCTTTATATCCATCATGCTCATACTCATCTTGATAGCGCTCGTAGTTGGGAAGGTCAAGCATCAGCTCATTTTAACTGGGGCCTACCACAGTCTTTGCACTGGGTCCAATAAGGTCGATGTAGATACATTGAGTTTCTGTGACACAGTTTAAAGCAATCCGGTTGTATTCACTGGTGCTCGCAAGCTTGGGTACCGCAGAGCTGCTTGGATCCATGGATGGCCCTTTTGCAGACCACCCAGAGAAGCATCACTTTTCTGCTGTCCACCCATGTTTTCCGGGTCTCTTACTCGAGAATCATGGTGCAAATTCAATTGGCCGTACGGGCTGACGCCGTAACTGGAATTGCCATCCGTTGCCCGTTCATCAGATTCTACCGCATCTGTACTTATTGGGATGATTTCGATGTAGTCTTCGTTGGCTGAGCTCCCTGGATCCGTATCTGCAACCTCATTGCATAATATGGCAGGGGCATTCTCTTCCCGTGAAGCACTAGCGTAGAGGAGTTCATCTGAATTCTCAGCCGTCTCAGATTGCGTGTATTGGCATATGCCATAACTTGGATTGTGCCGAAGTGTAATCTCGTTACCGTTGTGAATATCATGGTCATGCAGACCGGTGCCACTCGTCCTGTTTGATACGACTGGCTCGTTTCCGTACACGTCCTCATACACCTTTGAATCCGTCAGGTCTTCGTACAATGTGCTACTCGATGCTCTCTCGCTTCCAACCTGCCGCTTTCCTGACTTCGTGCGCTTCCCATCGCGGCAGACTGCATCCCTCAGCCCTGGAGCTGGTCCTGGCATGGTTGAATTTGTCCCCAAAGTTGACAGATCGCTAGGAGCAGGCACACCGTCCCCCACCGCATCATAGCTTGGCTCGTTCATGGGACAAAGTAGCGAACCTTCCTCATAATCCACACCTGAATTGGCCATGACCACATTAGACTGAGGAGGGCGTTTACAGTTGCCTTCAGTGGCGGTATCCAGGGAGCAATACAAATCTTGGCCATCCAAATTCTCAGTAACGGTGCTTTGCCCTTTGTCGTGAAGTTCGCCTTCGGTGGCATTGTCCAAAGAGCTATACATTTCTTCGCAATCTACATTTTTATCGACAGCCATTCTTTCTTGGGCGGAACACTTTGATGCAAAATTCTTTTCTGGTTGGAGTAGACGGTTGAATCTCTTGTA